AGAGAGCATAAAGACAAAACCACAATCAAGGCCTGACGTCTTACCGAGAAGTAGGAACGGAAAAGTTCGGCGATGCTCGTAAAAGCCACGCGGTGGTCGTCATTTTGCATAATGCAACAACACAACAACCGGATTCTTTTTTCCCAGACGCGGGTGGCCCTCTTCTTGAGGTTGCAGAACAGCTGCTCGGACTGGCTGCTCTCCAGATTGCGACTGGCGTAGTCAGCCAGGTAGACCGACTTGCTTCCAAGAGGATCGAAGAAAATGACAACTGCCACCACGGTGAAGATGATGATCACCCAGCTGACAGGAAGAACGGAGGAGACATTCCATAAAAACCAAGGAGACATCATTGCCTGCAATGCTTGTCGCTCTTGAAGCTTCCCCCAGATTCTGCTGCCAAAATACGATGGCACCTAAAGTAACAACTCAAGGTCCACCACTCTACGATGGATGTCTATGGGATATGTCTAGTGTAATGAGAAGAAGGGACTAGGGGGTGACGTGATAGTAGTGCTCTAATATTTGAGAGGTGGCCATAAAGACAAGGAGGTCAATCTAATTTCCAAAGCACCAGAAGGGAAGACAAGAAACAATGGATGGAAGCCAATCGAGGAGAGAAGCAACCTAGAAATAAGGAGAAATTTCCTGACAGAACAATTAATGGAACGGTTTGCCTCCAGAGGTTGTGGGTGCTCCATCACTGGAGGTTTTTAAGAGGAGATTGGACAACCATTTGTCTGAAATGCTATTGAGCAGGGCTCTTCAAACTTGGCCCTTTTACGACTTGTGGACTTCAACTCCCAGAATTTGTCTGGCTCAGGAATTCTGGGAGTTGAAGTCCACAAGTCATAAAAGGGCCCAGTTTGAAGACCCCTGCTATAGAGATTCCTGCCTGAGCAGGGGGCTGGACTAGAAGACCTCCAAGGTCCCTTCCAACTCTGTTATTCTGTTCAGTGTTCCAATATTTGAGGTGCTGCCCCAAGGAAGAGGGGGTCAACCTATTTCCCAAAGCCTCTGAAGGCAGGACAAGAAGCAACAGATGGAAACTAATCAAGGAGAGAAGCAACCTAGAACTAAGGAGAAACTTCCTGACAGAACAATTAATCAGTGGAACAACCTGCCTCCAGAAGCTGTGAATGCTTCAACACTGGAGGTTTTAAGAAGAGATTGGACAGCCATTTGTCTGAAATGGAATAGGGTCTCCTGCATGAGTAAAGGGTTGGAGTAGAAGATCTCCAAGGTCCCTTCCAACTCTGTTATTCTATTATTCTGGGTCAACCTATTTTCCAAACCACCAGCAGGCAGGACAAGAAGCAACGGATGGAAACTAATCAAGGAGAGAACCAGCCTAGAACTAAGGAGAAACTTCCTGACAGTTAGAGCAATTAATAAGTGGAACAACTGAAAAAGTAAAGGACCAGGGGTGACATGACAGCAGTATTCCACTATTTGGAAAATATCCAGTTGCACCCCAAGCAGCTGAATATCCCTATTTAGAACGCCATATATCCAGCCCCGCTCTCCAGCAACAGAAGGCAGAACAGCCTCACCTGACAATAACAGTCCCCAAAATGGCGTCGATCATAGCTCTTTCGCAGTTTGCTCGGTTGTTGGCTATCCACACCGTTCCCACCACAGCCCAGACCAGCTCTGGGACGTAGAGAGCCAGACGGACATAGAGGAGCTTGGGAAGTGATTTCCTTGGTCCGGGATTGGAAATGGTTCCTGGAAAAGAGAGTCACTGGACTTAACGAACTAGAAAAACGACAGCCATGGCTGGTTTTATTTTAGACTGTTTATTTGTTTCATGTTTGTTAAAGATTAAAACATTACTTTAAACATTTCAGGACAGAAAGAGGCTCCCTTCCTATGGATTTATTGACGATGTGCCATCTGCAAGCAGTCCTTGGTTTACAACAGTTTGTTTAGTGACTGTTCAAAGTTACAACGGCAGTGGGAAAAGCGCCTTATGACCCTTGCAGCATCCCCAGGGTCACGTGATCAAAATTCGGATGCTTGGCAACTCACTCCTATTTAGGACGGTCGCAGCGTCCCGGGGTCACGTGATCCCCTTTTGCAACCTTCTGACAAGCAAAGTCAATGGGGGAAGCCAGATTCACTTAACAACCGTGTTACTAACTGAATTGCAGTGATTCACTTAACAACTAAGATAAGGTAACCTTTATTGTCATTTTTATACTGTGGGCACAATGGCACACCTCAAAAATGAAATTTAGTTGCCTGCTCTCAAAGTGAAACATATACATGACACACACCTAAACATACTATGAACAACATATGTAATAGACCCACATCCCTACATATACGTAGCGAATAAATATTAAATACTGTCCATCTTGAATATATAACGGAAGGAGGAAGCTTGAGAGTTCACAAGGTTAATGCTGTATGGAATGAAACCATGGCTGAATCTGGATGTTCTGCTTCGGATACCACGGAGCCCCCTCCTCCCAGAAGATAACAAGGAAAACAGGTCGTGAAGAGGATGTGTAGCGTCCCAGATAATCTTACAGACCCTGCTCAAGCAGCGCTTCTGTGCTATGTCCTGCATGGGAGGGAGGGAACTGCCAATGATCTTTTCGGCCATTCTCACCACTCTCATAAAATGGGGCAAAACTCATTTAGCAACAGAAATTTCAGGCTCAATTGTGGTCATAACTTGAGGACTACCTGTAGTTGGTGTCGTATCTTAGCTACCACATAGAAGATCAGTTTCCTAGATAAGAACGCAGGCAAAGAAATCCCTAGATTATACTTATGTGCTACAAAAGCATAACACGGGTGTGTACGCGTGCCTGCCTGTTTACAATTATAATTACCGCTTGGGCAGGCAGATCTCCGTGCTAGGCAGCTTCTTGGTGTGACTTTCGTATGACTGATGCTCAACCCTGACACTACAGTGGATTTTCTCGATCCAAAAGCTAACACAGAAGGCAAATTACCTTGCATGCTGGTGTAGGTCACAGATGACAAAGCAGCTACGATGAACGCCAAGAGGATAAGGAGGATGAGAAGGTAGTTATTCAGCAGACCACTTCCGGTGCAGTTAAACTGTCCTTTGTGTATAGAATACAAAACCAAAATTCCAATCCACCTGAGAAAAGAAAGAAAGAAGAAGGATGGATGGATGGAAGATAAGAAAGAAAGAAAGAAAGAAAGAAAGAAAGAAAGAAAGAAAGAAAGAAAGAAAGAAAGAAAGAAAGAAAGAAGGAAAAGAAAGAAAGAAAGAAAGAAAGAAAGAAAGAAAGAAAAGAAAAATGAAGGAAGGAAGGAAGAAATAAAGAGGGAAGGAAGGAAGGAAGGAAGGAAGGAAGAGGGATGAAGGAAGGAAAAGAAAGAAAGAAAGAAAAGAAAGAGGAAGGAAGAAAGAAAGGGAAGGAAGGAAGAAGGATGAAGGAAGGAAAAGAAAGAAAGAAAGAAAAGAAAGAGGAAGGAAGGAAGAAAGAGGGAAGGAAGAAAGGATCACCCAGAATATTCTCAGCAGAAGTATTTTCAGAAGACGTAGCTACTTTCCACCAAACGCCAAATCACAAAGGGTTTCACAAAATCACAATGAGTTCTACAAGCCTCCTTTGCACAACGACTCCTACAAGCCTCTTTCGTTGGGGTCTCCAGTCTAAGCAGCTACAGAAATGAGGTTCATCCTGAAAGCGACAGAACCAAGTCACCCTCCTTGATATTGTTACGCAAAGAGTCTTGGCCAAGTTTGAAGACTGCAACTCGGCTTCCTAAATTCTGGAGGCCTACCACCCATACAGTGGTGACAGTGGTGACAAGCCTTACGGGTTGTGGCTGAAATGCTCTCCCTTTTGTGTTTACTAGGGGAACGTTTAAGGTGGGTATGAAAAAGAGGGTAGAAAAGGCCAACCACAATTAGGTGCCCATCACAGGATGGATCACTTTCCAAACGGGAGTGGCAAACATCCACGGGAGCTGAGCTGCTCTAATCTACAGCCTACCTCCGAGAACAGGGATCTTACCAGGTCACTCTGATGAACAATTCAAAGGCTCCAGGGAAGACAAAATCATCACTTCCAATGCCCCAACGCCGGCCAAAGAACACCAATCCGGGCATAGCGGAAATTGAGCTGCAATTCTTCTACCACTGTAGGAGAACAAGGAGATGCAACACCAGGTGAGACCTTTCTTTCCAAGGCAAAACAAGAAACTCTGAGCCTATTTGCTGAAAAACATTTTTATGTATTTGTCTTAATGGGTTTTACAGAAAAAATTGAGAAAAGACGCCAAAAGCAATCGCAACTAGAAAAGGAAATACAATGTTATCTTGGTACTCAATGGCCTTGAAACTCATCAAATTTGGTATACTCAATGCATTTTGACCTGAACGTTTTGTCCCGGAACTCATTGGTACACAACGCACAAGCTAGAACTTGCCGGTGTCGGCTGCCTTATGACTCACTACATTATTCCTTATGGGAAAATTTTATTTGGAAGTCACCATGCCTCCAAGAACAAGTTAACGATGAGTACCAAGGTACCACTATAGGAAAAAAAGGGCAAAAAAATACAACTACCCAAGTTAACAGAAAACTAGATTTACCTGTAGAGGCTAGAATTAGAATCAGAGTTGGAAGAGACTTCAAAGTCATCTTAGGCCAACCCTCTAGAACTTTGCTAGAACCTCTAGAACTTCTCCAGCAGGTACCACCCAAGCTTCAAGTGATGAAGGATATCTACTATTGTTCTAGAGGACAGATCATCTCATTGCTTAACAGCTGTCACAGTTAGCCTGACCCTTTGGACATGTTTGGGCTTTCTCAACCTCCTTCCTGCTCTTCAAGCCCAGATGTCATTCCAAGCTTCTTGAGCACACCATGAGCATTGACCATTGAGATTGCCATCTCCTGCTTTCAGCTTGATTGGTTGCACCTTCCAAAGCTTTGGTGAAGAGTTTTAAGAGACCTCTTCTGTTTTTCATGGACACCACATACGTTCTCAAGAACTTTTTTGGTAGCACCATACAAAACAGAATATTTATTAACTGTTGAAGGAGATGGGTGCAAGAGAGGACAGCTTCATGCCTTCTACATGTTTTGGACAAAACCCATAGAGGCCTTTATCACCACCTAAGCTGACCAAGACTGATAGGAGCAAAACAGGTAAACTCTGAGCTAGCTTTGTTGTTGTTAGTTGCGAAGTCATGTCCGACCCATCGCGACCCCATGAACAACGTTCCTCCAGGCCTTCCTGTCTTCTATCATCTTCTGGAGTCCATTTAAGCTCACACCTCCTGCTTCAGGGACTCCATCCAGCCCCCTCCTTCTCTGTCATCCCCTTCTTCTCTTGCCCTCCATCTTTCCCAGCATTAGGCTCTTCTCTAGTGAGTCCTTCCTTCTCCTTAGGTGGCCAAAGGACTTGAGTTTCAACTTCAGGATCTGGCCTTCTAAAGAGCAGTCAGGGTTGATCTCCTCTAGGACTGACTGGTTTGATCGCCTTGCAGTCCAGGGGACTCGCAGGAGTCTTCTCCAGCACCAGAGTTCAAAGGCCTCCATCCTTTGGCGCTCAGCCTTTCTTATGGTCCAACTTTCACAGCCATACATGAGCTAGCTTACCTGCTACTAATCTATGAAGCATGCACGACTGTCACCATGATGCCCACAAAG